GTTTGGTGCCTGGACACCTATATATATATATATATATAAACAGTGAGCTAAAGTCCAGTGAATAACAGTTATGTAAAGAGGCTAAGAATGAATGTCCTTTTAGTAATTAAACAGTCATATCAGTCACTTAGAAACCATAGCAGTCATATATGGTGCATCCCATAGCGAAACAGTACAGTAGGTCTTAACAGACCGAACAGTCAGTCGATGGCCATCATAACAGTAACAGTAGTGGTTTCAAACATGGGAACCGACAGAGATCTCTGTGTCAGTAGCAGTAACAGTACAGTAACAGTAAATTGCTATGGATGCCACGAATACAGTTTACAAATAGGACAAACATTCATTCATTAAACAATAACGTTTCAGTAAGCAGAACAGTTGATCAGTCAGAAAATAATCATAATTGAACATATCTTTATAACATTGTTACTCACAGAGCACTGGGCTATAAGCAGCTAGTGGGCGTCATTGGGTGCCAACCCTACACAGTTACAGAATGAATACACACTAAGTTACACACTTGGGAATCAACAACTTATTCCCTATCTTGACTCGGTGTGGTTCTACATCAATATCCTTATTAAGATGCCTTAAACATGGCCTAGGAATGCCTAGGACGGAAAGAAGATGCAAAGATGCACTTTAAAACATTTTTCAAAATTTGCTGAAACAGGGAGCACTGGGCTACAGACAAGCTAGTGGGCGTCCTCGGGTGCCAACCCTACACAGTTACAGAACGAACACACACTAAGTTACATACTCGGGAATCAATAACTTAGTCCCTATCTTGACTCGGTGTGGTTCTACATCAATATCCTTATTAAGATGCCTTAAACATGGCCTAGGAATGCCTAGGACGGAAAGAGGATGCAAGGATGCACTTTAAAACATTTTTCAAAATTTGCTGAAACAGGGATCCATGCTCGAGCGTGGCTTTCTACGCTCGAGCGGACATGCAGACAAAGGAGCTCCGCTCGAGTGTGACTTCCTACGCTCGAGCGGACTGCAAAACTTCATGAAAAGTACTGGATGCATGCAATTCACGCTCGACGGACGCTCGATCCCCGCTCGAGCGTAAGACTCAGGTCCTCGCTCGAGCGTGAAGTCTTTCGCTCGAGCGTGAAGTCTTTCGCTCGAGCGAACTACAAAACACAAGAACTTCTGGGCATATGCATTTCACGCTCGAGCATGACTTTCCACGCTCGAGCGGAAGTGCATGTACTCAGAGTGCACACTCGAGCGTGAAGTCCTACGCTCGAGCGTGGGTCCAAAATCTGGAATTTCCAGATTGAACCTCAAGCATGAAATTCAACTTTTAAAGCTTCAAATTCGATCCCCTTGGGCTAATTTTCTGGAAAACTCTTGAAAACCTATAATACAACATGTTTCAAAGATCAATTTGTAAAATCAAAACCCATAGGTAAGTCAATTGAACACAAAAATTAAGTGTAAGCACGAAGAACATTGCAAGATCAAACATGCATGAGTTATCATGAACTCTAGTGTTTCAAAACAAGATCAAATGCAATGTTGAGCTCAAAATCACGATGAATTCATGGACCATAACAAAAATATGAACTTGCATGTGGAAATTCTCATGAAACAACTCCAAAATTCAAGAATATGCACATGCATGCAAGGATTAACTCTCAATACAACATTTTAAATCAATTCTTGACTTAGATCACTAATTTACCATGAACCATGCAAGAAACAATTTAACTACATAAACCAAAGGATGAATTCTCTACCTTAGGTCTTGAATTCCAAGTATTGAAGCTTCAATTACACAATCTCTCTTCAATTTCTCTTAAGTTCCAAGCCAAACTTTGTTGAATCAATTCTTTCCTTGCAATTCTCTCTCTCTCACATGTTTGGTCTCAAAGATGAAATGGATGGCATATCAAACATGAGTGAAGTAGAAAAAGAATGGTCTTGAATCAAGCCACTAAGTGGTAATTGTGTAAATATTGCAACTAATGTAATTTAACTTTATTTTATCTAATTTAATCGTCCCAAATCAAATTTTAATTAAACCTACCATAAAATCCTAATTAGCATATAACACAAATCAATATCAGATTCGGTCGCCGATAAGACCTTCAATTCGCAGTTCAAAGTTAAAATGTGAACAGATCAATCAATGGCAAACAGATAGAAAATGCAATTAAGGTAGCATACTCATGCACTCAGTTCAGAATTTCGGTCTGATCAATTACTTGTCATGCTTAATCAGAGATTAGCACTAATCAGAGGGTAGCACTAATCAGAGGTGAGGGTTGTCACATGTAGAAACAAGAAATGTATTATATAAGTGGGCTTTACAAAATAAAATATTTACGATTAGTGTAGATAATGCATCATATTATATTCAAATTGTAGCCCATTTAAAATCAACTTTACAATTACTTGTTGATGGTGATTTATTTCATGTTCGTTGTTGTGCCCATATTTTAAATTTGATTGTTAAAGAAGATATGCATGTATACGAAACTTCTGTACTTGTAATAAAAAATACAGTTGTTACTATTATGTCTTCTGGTAATCGAATTTCAGAATATAGAAAAATTTGTCAACGAGAAAATATGTCATTTAAAAAATTAATTTTAGATGTAGATAGTAGGTGGAATTCAACATATAATATGTTAAAAATAGCTTGTAAACAAAGAAGAGCAATAGATTTATTTTTTGCAACAACATCAATAAGAGGAGTACTGACACCTACTGAACTTAATTGGCGTCAAGTAGCCTTGTATAAAGATTTTTTAAAATTTTTCAATACTTCAACAAAATTATTTTCTTATATATATATTCCTACTTCACCATTTGTTTTACATATGCTAGCAGAAATAATTAAAATTTTCATAAAATATATGGGTAATGAACTTTAATGTAACCATTATTACTTCAATGAAAGAAAAATTTGATAATATTTTCATCCTTTGCCTCATCTATTAGGTTTAGCTATAATAATTGATCCTAGGTGTAAAGAAGTTGGTTTACAAGAATTTTTAGAGCATATTTTCGATGATCAAATATAGTTTGCCCCTATTATGCAAATATGCAACAGATTATTTCAAGAATACAGGGCAACTGCAGCTGTATCTGCATCTGTAAATACACCTACACACACTACACTAGCAGTCCAACAATCTTGAGGCGGGAGATTAAGTATTTTCACAGCAATAAAAGTAGAAGAATATCTCAACATACAAGTGTAATTAGTTCTGAACTGCAACGGTATTTGGAAAGCCGTCAGTGGATGATTCCGATAATTTTGACATTTTGGAATGGTGGAAACAAAATGAATCTATGTGGCCTGTGCTTTCACAGATGGCCCGTGATATATTAACCGTTCCTATTTTTACAGTTGCTTCAGAAACAACTTTTAGTGTAGGTAGACGGGTGCTGAGTGACTATAGGAGCAGGCTTTCAGCCGAAATAGTTGAGGCATTAATGATATCCAGGGATCATATGCACACGCTTACAAGAAGACAAAATTTTAGTGAAAGGAGCGAATTCAATATGATTTGGATGACATATCATCGGGCAACGCAACTGAAATGTCTGTCTCCTCCGATGATTGATCAACAATTTATTTTTTACTATTTCATTTCATTTTATTTTTTTCTTGGTTTTTGTTTTTGTTTTTGTTATTTTGTATTAGATTATTGAGGTTTATTGAGGTGAAGTATACTGCAAATGATTGGTAGGCTAGTAGGTGCCAACCTAGTTGGGATGTACTTGACCTATAGTGATGTAATTGCTATACCATCATCAGTAATCTACACTTAATTTATTTAATCAATCATGCTACGTAGCTCGAATCCTCCTTTCCTCGATTCCCCCGAATTCAAAACGACGTTGTTTCGTCGTTTTGATTTTTTTTTTTTCAAAAACGCAGAAGAAGAAAAATGAAAAAAGAAGAAGAAGAAAGAAAAAGAAGAAAGGAGGAGGAAGATGAGAGTAGCAGAGAGAGAGAGAGAGAGAAAAAAAAATCATCAATAACAACATCATGATCATCATTTTCAGATCTTCATCAACATCATCATCAACAACCATTCAACACATTTTCATCATCAACAACAACATCTTCTTCATCATCATCATCATCAACAACCATTCAACACATTTTCATCATCAACAACAACATCTTCATCATCATCATCATCATCAACAACCATTCACCATCAACATCTTCATTAACATCACCATCATCATCATCAACACATTTTCAGAAAAAAAGGGGTTGCGATCAATTGATCGATCGATCGGCGACGGCTCCGATTGATCTGAAAAAAAAATTGGAGGCGGAGGCAGAGGCGGCGGCGATCAGTGATGGCGATCGACCCTCTCTCTCTCTCCATTCCCTCTTCCCCTCTCTTCTCTTTCTCTCCTTCTCTTTCTCTTTCTCTCCCTCTTCCTCTTCTTCTCTCCGTCTTTCTCTTTCTCTCCCTCTGTTTTAGACATAAGGAGAAAAAAAAAGAAAAAAAAAAGAACTGCCCAAAACAACGTCGTTTTAGGCAGTCGGGGGATACGGGAAAGAAATATTCGGGGGGAAAATCATTTTCCTTTACTTAATAATATCAATTTTTGTAATATTTTATTTCATTTTGAAATAAAAATTATTCATTCAATAAATGTTATATAAATAATTTAATATTGTAATATTGAAAGTTTCAATTTAATATATATAAAATAATTCATTTCGAAAGAAAAAAAATTACATAATTATATACTTTTTTAGTTATAAGTTCACAATTAAAAAAATATAAGTTATATATAATTAAATTTAAATATCACTATAAAACATTACATAACCAAACAAAATATCTCATTAATCGTAATTAAAATACTTTAGTATAATTTTTTTTTTAATTTTTTATTTCTATTATTAAAAAAAAAGCCCGACTAGGCCCGGCTCGCGGGCCAAGGCCCGAGCTCAGGCCCTAGACCGTATTATGAGTGGGTTTGGGCTTGGGCCTGGGCCCCACATTTTAGCCCATGGGTCGGCCCGGCCCGCTAAAAAATCGCGAGCCCACAAATGCACGGGTCACTGTATACTGATTAATAGGTGAACGGATTTTGATATCCATTTCATCTGCAAGGTGAACCTTAAAATGTTTGAAAATTTTTGTTAAGAGTGTCCCAAACAGTAATGACCGACCTGTGAATTGACCTTGATTTGCCAGTACCATTTCTTTCATAATTATGTAACACAAATCTACCTTCTGACCAACTTCAAAACAGTATAACAAATAGGCATTAAAATATGGGACTGCATCATGGTGTGCTTTTTTTGGAGTGACATTTTCTATAATCCACTGGTGGAGAATCCGAAGATGAGGTTTTAAATGTCTTGCTTGTAAACTAGTCCCAGTAAATCTATTCCGACAAATAGTAGTCAAGACATCAGTAGCATTACCAACGATATTAGCTAACTCACCCTCAGTCTGAAAATGAATATTTTCAACACCTAACTCAACTCCAACAATGCTTACCAAAGTAGGAATATCAAACTGTATACCTTTTCCTTTCACATACGACAAAAGAGTAAAATTTCCATCTTCTTCCTGAGTAGCTCTTTGGTGAACATAAAATAGAGCTACCAACCGTGGATATACCTTTTGGGGAAAATTAATTAAGTTTTTCCATCCCATTGCTTCAAGTTTACTAATTAATAGTGCATCATATTGAGATGGAAGATTTACCCTTCTCCCTGTTACAATCGGTCGGGCAGAAAAGTTTGGAAAGGCTAGTGCATGACTTTCAGTGAGAAAATCATCAGTAGGATATGACTGCATTTGAGGCTGTTGTTCTTCGCGTCGTGAAGGGTTGGAACTTTCACCAACTTGTGGTCTCGCTCTTTTAGTTCTAGGCATGATGTCAAAATCTGTTGAATTTCAAATGAATATACTTTTAATATTACAATGCATATTAAAATGGAAAAATATTACCATATTTCAGTATGCATACTAATCTAAAAATATCAGTAATCCTGAAAACATCCTATGCCAATACGCATATAATCAGGAATATAACATCATGGGAAAAAGCTGAATAAAATGGATGTAACTTAGAGCAGTGTAGAAGTGAGACTCAAATTCAGAAATCAGTCCTGGTTGACAGAAATCACTAGGAGTTAAGGAAATGAAATAAAAATAGCAGAAGGGAGACTGAAATTTGGGACAATATCAATCCCACATACACCAAAATTGATTTAAAATGTAATTTAGAGCAGTGTAAAAGTGCATCTAGTTGACAGACATTTTCCTCACTAGAATTTTATCCATGTTTCCCTTTTACACCTTTAGTTAAAATATTAAACATGAAGTGCATCTAGTTGAATAGTTTTATGTTTTAAAATATTAAACATGAAGTTTGATTCAAAAATGAATTTCATGCTCTTGAAAAAGTTAAAGTTGAACAAATTAAACATAGAATTAAACAAATACAGCATACACACTTCAAATATACAGCATACACACTGAAAGAAAGAAAGAGAAAAAAAAAATAAACAGGGCTAGTTGACCAACCGGTTGACCCGTGCCTTTTACACCTCTTTGGATGTTGCCCTGCCTTCTTGTTCTGGTCCTGCCTTTCCTGATTCAGATGTTTCCCTTGCTCAGTCTGTGGAATCACACTTATTCAGAGTTTGGGATTAGATTTTGGTTCAGCCGAATTTGAAGATAATGGATGGAGGAATACACTGACTGTGTTGTTAGAGGCAATCTGTGGACAGACAAGCAATGGTATTCAGTGAAGGTTGGCCATGTTTTCTGAGCTGATATAGAGGCTCCATTCTTGAGGTAGGTGGTGAGGATATTACTACTCAACACCTATATGCCGTATGAAAAATGAGGCATGGTAGATGGCATGCATTCAATGAATGGTAGGTGGTGTCTGTAAATTGAATGGTAGGTGTCATTGATAGGTGGTGTCTGTAAATTGAATGGTAGGTGTCATTGATAGGTGGTGTCTGTAAATTGAATGGTAGGTGTCATTGATAGGTGGTGTCTGTAAATTGAATGGTAGGTGTCATTGATAGGTGGTGTCTGTAAATTGAATGGTAGGTGTCATTGATAGGTGGTGTCTGTAAATTGAATGGTAGGTGTCATTGATAGGTGGTGTCTGTAAATTGAATGGTAGGTGTCATTGATAGGTTGTGTCTGTAAATTGAATGGTAGGTGTCATTGATAGGTTGTGTCTGTAAATTGAATGGTAGGTGTCATTGATAGGTTGTGTCTGTAAATTGAATGGTAGGTGTCATTGATAGGTTGTGTCTGTAAATTGAATGGTAGGTGTCATTGATAGGTTGTGTCTGTAAATTGAATGGTAGGTGTCATTGATAGGTTGTGTCTGTAAATTGAATGGTAGGTGTCATTGATAGGTTGTGTCTGTAAACACGAAACAAAATCAAATTGTCCTTTTTTGGGAGTGACATTTTCAACTATCCATCGATGAAGAATACGAAGGTGAGGTTTTAAATGTCTTGCTTGTAAACTAGTCCCAGTAAATCTGTTCTGACAAATAGTAGTATATACATCGGTAGCATTACCAACAATATTAGCTAACTCAGCCTCACTCTGAAAATGGATATTTTCATCACCTACCTCAACTCCAATAATGCTTGCCAAAGTAGGAATATCAAATTGTATACTCTTTCCTTTCACATATGATAAAATAGTAAAATTTCCATTTTCTTCCTGAGTACCTCTTAGGTGAACATAAAATAGAGATACCAGCCGTGAATATACCTTTTGGGGTAAATTAATTAAATTTAGCCATCCCATTGCTTCAAGTTTACTAATTAATAGTGCATCATATTGAGATGGAAGATTTACCCTTCTCCCTGTAACAATCAGTCGGGCAAAGAAGTTTGGAAAGGCTAGTGCATGACTTTTAGTGAGAAAATCATCAGTAGGATATGACTGCATTTGAGGCTGTTGTTCTTCGCGTCGTGAAGGGTTGGAACTTTTACCAACTTGTGGTCTCGCTCTTTTAGTTCTAGGCATGATTGTCAAAATCTGTTGAATTTCAAATGAATATACTTTTAATATTACAATGCATATTAAAATGGAAAAATATTACCATATTTCAGTATGCATACTAATCTAAAAAACATCAGTAATCCTGAAAACATCCTATGCCAATATGCATATAATAAGGAATATAACATCATGGGAAAAAGCTGAATAAAATGGATGTAACTTAGAGCAGTGTAGAAGTGAGACTCAAATTCATAAATCAATCCTGGTTGACAGAAATCACTAGGAGTTAAGGAAATGAAATAAAAATAGCAGAAGGGAGACTGAAATTTAGAACTTGGGACAATATCAATCCCACATACACCAAAATTGATTTAAAATGTAACTAGAGCAGTGTAAAAGTGCATCTAGTTGATAGACATTTTCCTCACTAGAATTTTATCCATGTTTCCCTTTTACACCTTCAGTTAAAATATTAAACATGAAGTGCATCTAGTTGAATAGTTTTATGTTTTAAAATATTAAACATGAAGTTTGATTCAAAAATGAATTTCATGCTCTTGAAAAAGTTAAAGTTGAACAAATTAAACATAAAATTAAACAAATACAGCATACACACTTCAAATATACAGCATACACACTAAAAGAAAGAAAGAGAAAAAAAAAAATAAACAGGGCCAGTTGACCAACCGGTTGACTCGTGCCTTTCACACCTCTTTGGATATTGCCCTGCCTTCTTGTTCTGGTCCTGCCTTTCCTGATTCAGATGTTTCCCTTGCTCAGTCTGTGGAATCATACTTATTCAGAGTTTGGGATTATATTTTGGTTCAGCCGAATTTGAAGATAGTGGATGGAGGAATACACTGACTGTATTGTTAGAGGCAATCTGTGGACAGACAAGCAATGGTATTCAGTGAAGGTTGGCCATATTTTTTGAGCTGATATAGAGGCTCCATTCTTGAGGTAGGTGGTGAGGATATTACTACTCAACAACTATATGCCGTATGAAAAATGAGGCATGGTAGATGGCATGCATTCAATGAATGGTAGGTGGTGTCTGTAAATTGAATAGTAGGTGTCATTGATAGGTGGTGTCTGTAAATTGAATGGTAGGTGTTGAGGAAATTACGTATGCAATGTGTGCATAAATAATTGAAGACATTATGATTTGTAGGTGGAATGAATTTATCTACTGACTAAATGAATGGATTATTATGTATTTTTTAACTATGTATGTTGAATGCATTTTAAGTGAGGTAATAAATGAATGGGAAGATCAATATCAGTAAATCAATGCCACATCAATAAATTTGAATAAATTTGTGGTATTATTAAATTACTTGTTGCTCAGTAATTGAAGATCAATAAATTTGTATCAACAATGCAGTAATTTAAGAATTGACCTTGAGTGAAGAATACATAAATGAGACATTATTAATAAACTATGATTATGCAGATCAACATGTAAAAGAAGACATTATGATTATGCAAGTCAACATCAATAATTGAACACATTATGATTATGCACATTTCCATCAGTAATTTAGTATATTATTATTAAAGTACCATTTAAGACATGATTATGAAATGTGCATAAATGGACATGGTATTATCATTTGTGGCACATCAACACAGAATTTAGGAAAATCATTTTTATTTTATTTAGTTCATATACTTAGTTCATACACTGCACAATTTTGAATATTAAAGATTGAATATGATAACAGGACATCATCACATAACTTCTGAATTACTTAGTTCATATACTGCATCATAATAAATATTACAAACAAGAGAACCTTCAATTCCAAACTATAAACCAAAATTACATGTATTGATGTGGTTAATTTAGTGTTCACCACGAATATACCACATATGTTCTACTAAATCATTACGGAGGGCATGATACGCATCCTTATCTCTAATACCTAAATGACGAGACAGAAATGATTGGAAGTCATTGGTAGGAGTAGAGGAAAGTTGCACTGGTGTGTTGGTTGATGCAATATCATAATTGAAATCAAGGTGCTCCTCCCTCTCATCTTCGACAATCATATTATATAATATGATGTAACTCTTCATTATGTTGGCAAGCATTTTCGAATCCCAATAACGTACAGCACCACGTATAATTGCGAATCGAGATTGAAGGACTCCGAATGCCCGCTCTACATCTTTCCTGGCAGACTCTTGCATCATTGCAAAATGTTGTCTCTTTGCTCCTTGGGGAGAAGAAATTGTTTGAACCAATGTTGCCCATTAAAGGTATATACCGTCAGCAAGGTAATAACCCATATCGTAATTATGTCCATTAATTTTGTAATGGACAGGGGGAGCTTTACCTTGCGCAAGATCAGAAAATAAAGGCGATCGGTCCAACACATTCAAGTCATTGTGTGAGCCAGGCATTCCAAAAAATGCATGCCAAATCCATAAGTCATAAGATGCTACTGCTTCAAGAATAATGGTTGGCTTTTTTTGATGGCCTACGTACTGACCTTGCCATGCCTTTGGACAATTTTTTCACTCCTAATGCATGCAATCTAAACTTCCCAACATGCCAGGAAACCCCCGAACCTCCCCAATAGCAAGTAATCTAGCAATGTTAGTTGGCGTCGGGGATCTCAGATATTCTTTTCCAAATATTTCAATCACTGAATTACAAAATTGTTGCAAACTTTGAATTGCAGTGCTTTCCCCAATACGAATGTAATCATCAACTGCATCTGCTGCGACACCATATGATAATATTCTCATCGCTGCAGTCATTTTTTGCAGGGGAGATAATCCAAGTACATAAGCTGCATCTTGTTTTTGAACAAAATATGAATTATGTGTTTGAATTGCATTCAAAATGCGTAGATACAAAGGACGACGCATTCGAAAACATCTCCGAAATATTATAGGTGAATACACTGAATTTGCAGCAAAATAATCTGCGAACAATCTGTCATGACCCTGCCTTCTATCTCTGTGTATATATCTATGACCTACAACAGAACCACCTATCTTCTTTGACCTATCACTCTTTAGAATCTGAAGCATATTAGTATTATTCTGCTCATAAGCTCCTAAACGTGCGACGATATATTCATCATCAGATTCATCATTAGAGGAAGAGGAAGAAGAAGATGATGAAAATGAAGTCAATACGATGGATTTGAAGGTATTTATTATGCTCTGTTTGGAAAAAGAAATAGGAAAAAGAATTGGGAAGAAATGGAGGGAAACAAAAAAAAAATAAAATTATTTGCCTGACCAGTCGTTCCTTTCCAGTTCACAAACGGCCTTCTATGTCTGTGTATATATCTATGACCTACAACAGAACCACCTATCTTCTTTGATCTATCACTTGACTTAAGAATCTGAAACATACTAGTATTATTCTGCTCATAAGCTCCTACATGTGTGACGATATATTCATCATCAGACTCATCATCAGCGGAAGAGGAAGAAGAGGAAGAAGATGAGGATGAAAATGAATTAAATATCATGGATTTCAAGGTATTCATGGTGCTTTGTTTTGTTTAAGGTATGATCGTATTTGTCTGGCATATGGATAATAGGTTTATATGAGAGCATAATCCATATAGCAGACATATATGTAATGGAAGGAAAAAGAAATAGGAAAAACAATTGGGAACAGAAATGGAGGGAAACAAACAAAGAAAGAAAAAAAAAATATATATATATATATATAGGCTGACCGGTCGACCAACCGATCGCCCCCTTTCCCGGTTCAGAAAGCTGGGTTCAAACCGTTCAAAAGGGTAAAAAAAATAATAGCATTTTACGCATACAGGTCGACCCACC